TGTAGCTGAACTAGTCCTTCATTTCATGCTTGCTATTCTAAAACATGTTCCTTTTCCCACACCCCCAAACACATTCACATCACCTTCTTTATTGATGACCATGGCTCCAGCACATTTTTCCCACCTTTCTTCTTCACCTACCCAGCCTGATCCCCCACTAACTTTGTAAAACTTGCAAGTTAAATTTTTCAAAGACTGTTTCTGACAAAGCAGTGGGAATTAGATTTGGTGAAGCCCTTCATAAAAATTTGAAGACATGCTATATTAACATACATTGATTTATTCATAGTGTTTCATTACAAGTAAGTGAAGATCCTGTAATACCAGGAAAGGTTAGGAGAGCAAGGGAGCGTGGTATATTATATTGACAGCTCCATAGAAATTGAGTCGCTTTTGGATTGAATTTGGAGCATGGGAAGGAGCTGACTAGTAAATAAGGCATGAGCTCTCACTCCCGGTGTCTGCATATCAGTGGTGTTGCCACAAGCCCAGGCAGGGTCACCAGTACCGATTTTTTTTGAGAAAATACAGAGGCATATCCTCTCTACTGGTGTACTGGATTCCCTGGCCCCTGGCACACCTCTGAGCATCTCCCTCTTCTGTTGCTAGGAAACAGGAGTCCAGCTGTGCACTTCACCCCCACTTGCCCTCACCTGACGTCTCTCTGTGTGAGCCATTCCATACCCCAGGCCCTTGCTCAGCCTATTGTCTCTGCCTGGAACCTACAGGATTTTTTCATCTGCTCCAACTCCATTCCATCCTTTAGGTTTGGATCTTTTCTCTCCCTGAGCATTGCATCTTAGTTCAGTAATGCTCAGATGTAGCCTCTAAGCTAATGATTTGATGCTGAGCAAATTATTAGGTAATGTAAGAAACACTGGTTTAAGAAAAAAAATTAAAAAGAGGATGGGAAGTAGAGAGTAATGTAGCCAGTGAATAAACATCTGTAGTTATTTAATTAATCATTTGATTTTATTTGTGTGTGCATGCATGCGTGCCATGACATGTGTTCGAAGGTCAGAAAATAGAACAAGTATGGCTAAACCCCCAGGTTATTGTGGGATCTAGAGAATTAATGTAGTTGCTCGTAGTGCCCCAACCAGGAAAGCATGGTGAGATGAGGTCTACAGTGTTTGCCTCAGGTGTTGGGTTGGACAGATGGTTCTGTCAGAACCTCCTAGAGTTGCTAGCCACCTGTGGGTGTGTGGACTCTGCTAGTGAAAGCCCAGGTTATTTGCTCATGGAGTTGTCTCTTCCTGGACTCACGCTGATGCTAGCCACATCTGGCCTCTCTCATGAAGCACACGGCAGGCACCATCGCTACATCACTACTGCCTCCCACAGGAGAGGGAAATCATTCTATCTCCATGCTTACTACCTATGCCAGAGATAAGAAACTGCTCACTTTCTCAGTATAGAATATCTGCCTCCTCTTGGCCTGATTTGGCTTTCTGGAAACATTGACCATGTTTTTTTTATTACTTAAATGCATGAGTGTGTGCATGTGAGTACTTGTGCGTGTGTGTGTTTCTCTTTTCTGGCCTAGTTGAGGAAGGGTCTCTTGTTTCTGCTGCTCCACTGCATACTTCTAGCTAACTGGCTGGTGAGATTCCTGCTTCCCAGGTTGCCGTGGGAGTACTGGGATACAGATGCACATCACCACGTCCATTTTTTATGTGGGTTCTAGTCATCGAACTTGGTCTGCATGGCTGACACTTTTGCCTGATGGGCCATCTAGCTAGCCCTTAATGAGAGATTTCTTAGTGTAACAAAGTAGGTTTTAAAAATTAAAGAATGCCGTGTATCAGCAGCTGCAGTTGCCTGCCTGCGACCTGCGCAAGACCAACCCAGTAATACTTCTAGCACTGTGTGGCGGAGCTCATGAGCTAGTCACCAATGATGGCTTCTGGAGAGGGAAACTCGGCTTTCTTCAGAGGTGTGGCCTCTGACAGGTCAGTTACGCTTCAGTCGGTGGCCCCACACTTATGAGTCCACACAAACTCGACTCAGTAGACGTTTGAAAAGAAAAAGAAAATGGAACTGGGAGAGACATTTCAATGGTTATGAGCATTTGCTGCTCTTGCAGAGGACCTGGGTTCAATTCCCAGCACTCACACCAGGCAGCTCACAGTCTTTTACAACTCCAGTTCCAGGGACCCAAAGCTCTCTTCCAGACTCTATGGGTACCGGGTGTCCATATGTACGTGCAGGCAAGCACTCATAATATAAAATAAACATAAAATAATAAATCCTTTTTATAAAAGTGAGACGGGATCTGGCAGCAGCTAGGGGGAAAAGAAGGGATTGAATATGATCCAAATGCTCTGTGTGCAATTAATACAAATATTATTATGTTAAAAGAATCCTGTGTAGCCTACTTTCAGAGTTATGTGATTCAGGCTCCTGGCGCTCCCACTGCCATCCATGAAGAATAGTACATAGTGCAACTACCATTAGTTACTTTGATAGCAGGGCAAATGCAGAAATCGGGGATGACTTCAAGACGTAAATACCCCGTCATTTCTGTGACATCTACCTTGTGACCAATGGACCCAGACACTGCAGACTATAGAAGGGTTAGATTGTTGTCAGATCATGAACTCTGTGTTGTGAATCATGGTCTTCACATTTACACCTGAGTGCAGCGGATTGGGAAACACAACACCGAGATCTCATCACAGATCGTTTGAAAAGCACTGATTTAGTGCAAGTTATTTCCAGCTGAGTAGCTCATGAACATAACTATCCTGGTTCCTCCAAGAAGATGTGACCAAACACCACTGCGTGTAGGATAGAATACACAGGCTGCGTTATCTTATACACCTGTGGCATGCACGTTTGTGTATATGCATGTCATCCTGGGTGTAGGGGTGTATGTACATATGGAGGTCTGAGTTTGGTCCTGGGAATCCTTTGTGATGATCCCCCCACCTCTTTTATTAAGTCAGGTTGTCTGCATCCAAGCCAGAGCTTGACAGTGTAGGCAGTGGTGTCACCCCTAGAATTGCAAGGGTCCCACTGTGCCCATGTGGCATTTATGTGGAGCGTGCGGATCTTAACTCTTTCGTGTTGCCTTACTTGTGAGCAATCCCCAGCCTGGAGTCTGCCTTTTCAACACTACAGCTACTTTTCTTTGGAAAGGGCTAGTCCGATTGCTTTGTGTTCAACACCAGACACACACCAGATCTCTAAGATTTAAAATGAGTTATAGAATGTGAACTACTTCATTAAATGTTTTGGTATTGGCAACAGACTGAAGTGATAGTATTGTGGGGTGTTTTGGGTACAATGAGATATGTTAGGAAGATAAATTTCCTTTATTGTTACTACAGTATATTTTTACTAATACGATTTCTTCTTTGACAATTTTATACACGTTTATGTTTTATGATTACCCTTCCCCGTCACTCTCTCATCTTCCACCCACCCTTCCTAGAGCCTACCACCCTACTAATCTCTTTCCAAAATTTATGCCTTTTGTTTTGTGTCCCCTACACATTTAGGTTGGGCCACCTGTGTGACCACTCATTTGAGCCTGTTGGACTCACAAGTGGGTTCAGCACTAAATACTATGCTTTGCCCTCACATAGTCTGTTAGTTTCCAATATTTCAGCAGTAAGTGTCAATGGCCTATGAGCCCCTCCATACTCCATAGCTAACTGTCGGCTGGGGCATTCTTTTGTAGGTCCAGTGTCAGTAATGACAGAAGATATGAATTCACGATTGCCATGACAATGTCATGCTTAAAAGAATGTACTTATCACCCTTTCTTTGTATCTCTGAGCTCTTACATTCTTTCCACACTATTGCTATAATGATCTTTGTAATAACTTCCTGGGGATGTGGTATGAATGTCTTGTTTGGGGCCAAGCCTTTAACCATCATTTATTGTCGGCATCCTGTCCAGCCTCAAGTTCTGAATGCTATCTAATGCAAACATAGGCTTCTCTAATTAGGTCTAAGAGTATCCTTTGTAGGTATAAACATAGATGTGTCAAAGCAGCTTGATGTTATGTCAGTTTAATTAAGCAACAGTGTAACAGTTTCCCCTAAAACCCCTCAGTCACAGTTTTTGACTGGGCATACAGTACTAGGAATTAATTCTCTCTCACGGTGTGGGCCTCAAATCCAAGCAGAGAGTAGTTGCTTACTCATATAACATTCATGTCATCATTTCACCAGTGGCACATCTTACCTGGCAGGTTGATAATGCAGTCCATAGAGTTCACTGGTGGGTAAAATCATTAATCCCCTTACTCCCCGTAACAGCCTGAAGCACTGTTTGACACAACAGTGAAAAGTAACCAGCTGGGAGGAACCTTCCAGCTCAATCCCAGTTTGATTTCTCTATACTTCCCATTCAAAGTGTGTGGTGTCTTCGGGAACAGAGTCTCCCTAGCCAAGAGCCACAGAGGAATCTTACATCTAGCACTGGGAATTGTGTTTAGCGGCCCGTTTGTTGACTCTAGGTCTGACATTATCTAGCCATGGGAGGCATCAGCCACCAGATTCTTTTATGTTTTATAAATTGGATCACAAGATAGCAAAGATATGAACTTTCTAGATGGTGATTCATATCCCTTTAGTTTTTCTTAACCCCTCCCTGTTCTCCCATCTCCCTCCTCTTCCATCCCTCATCCTGATGAAACGTCTCCCTCTCCAGCATCCTCCTTACTCACCCATATTTTACTATGTGCTACTGCCTCCCCTTCCTTAGGGTAACTTCCCCACAAATGCCCTCTTTTTAAACTCAGGGAGCTGGAGGAGTGTAGAACACTCAAGATGGCATGCTCTGGTTGTGTTAGACATGGCTGTCCCATGGCTTGTCAGTAGAGAACTCAGGGTCCTGGTTGTCTGTACTGTGGACAGTACTAAGCAACACTGTAACCTCCTGGCCTCCGCTGTCCATCTTCTTCTACCTGCCCCTGCTGCCCTCCCAATGAGCTCCCTGAATTACTGAGTGAAGCATTTATGTTCTTGCTTATCACTTTGTTACCCAGATTAACTACAAGGCTGTTGGCTCATTGGATCCAAGTGCCGACCTGTCCAGCCAGAGGGGGAAAGTGTTCAAGCTCCGGAATGAAACCCATCACCTTTTTGTGGGTCTGTACCCTGGGACCACCTACTCCTTCACCATCAAGGCCAGCACAGCCAAGGGCTTCGGACCTCCAGTCACCACTCGGATTGCCACCAAGATTTCAGGTATCTCTTTTAGAAAGAGAAAAGGGAGCTACATCCCTGACCTCTTTAGCCTTAGTAATTTTCTGGAGTAAAAAGAGACAAGACCAACTATCGTTGATGACAATGGGAGTTTAGACAATAAAGTCACTATCGGGTTGAAGAAATTCCGATAGATAAACTTCTTGAAGTTCACTAAATAACATGCCCTGGGGTGGAAGTAAGAAGAAAAAGAATGAGAGCAAGAGTGAGTGAGTGAAAGATAGAGACAGAAACAGACAGACAGACAGACAGACAGAGCACATAGAAATTGGTTCGTAAATTTATTTTCCAAATGGAATGCTTTCCACTATAAGACACTCACAGCATTGGCTCTCATGGAATATCTGATGAATGAATGAAGGAATGAATGACCAAGGTGCAGTTGCCCAAGACTGCAAATTCTCTCTACCAGTAGGGTGTACCACATTGCCTGAGAGCATTAAAACAGAACCATTGCCGAATGCTTATTTACAGCTTCCATATTTTGGAGTATCTATTCAATCTGACTTGTGTGCTTATGTATTTTGCATGCGGTTTTGCAGAAGCCATGAATTTTTGTAGCTTAATGTTTCCACTTATCCTTATCCCATAAGTATTTCCCACACTGCTGCTTTGCTTTCATTATAATGTTCTGTCAACTGGATGGACGTAATTTAATTAAACAGTCCCATGTGGGTGAATATATTCGGTGTTTCTACATTTTTATAAAATAGCACTTCAATAAACATGCTACAAAATAAAGTTTAAATCGTTGATTGGGATTATAACTTTAGGATTAAATTCAGAAATTGAAAAAAAGAATTAAAAGAGATGTGGGTTTTAATAGCTCATAATACAAATGGCTAAATTACCCTTTCAAAGGATTAGATTTAGTCACACTCCTGTGGGGGGAGAGGGTCTTATGAAAAAAAAAAAAAAGAACTAATTCATCTTTTCTCTATTTGCATCTAAATGTGTTTAACAGGGTTGACTCTGTTTTCACATCTTTATAAGGTACTTATATATCCCACACATTCCTTTTTTTCTGGATGGGAGAGGCACTTTTTGATGACGGTCGTGCTTAAACTCTCTTCAGACTATTGTGTCCAGACTATTGTGCTGAGAGGCCATGATTTCCATGGCCTTTTGGCACAATAGTCTGGAAATCATGGCCTCTCTTACTGAAGACCTCTGAGGCCATGGGGTTCTCATGGAATCAAGGGGAAGTGTGGAGGGACATGCAGGGCCTGTGCTTGATCACCTCCAATTTCTGACTTTTTCCCAGCTCCATCGATGCCTGAATATGATGCAGATTCTCCACTCAATGAAACCGACACAACCATCACCGTGATGCTCAAACCCGCCCAGTCCCGGGGAGCCCCTGTCAGGTGAGGAGCTATGGTCTGCGGCTTCCCCTTCCTCCCCCTCCCCTGTACCTCACACAAGTCTAGGTGAATCACGTGACTGGCGATGTGCCTGGCTGAGATAAGCCAGAAGACAGATTTTCTACAAGGAAGATGGTCAGCAGCTTTAAGCCCAATTCGGAGAGAGGTGCTCAGCCAGGATCTTCGCTCTCCACAGTGAACAATAGTTCAGAGGGAACATTCTGGTAGGGACCTGAGATGATCAGGGGGAGAAATTCCTGGAGCATAATTAAGGAAAATTTAGACACGGTGCTTTTGCAAAATCATCTGTCTCACTGCCGTAATAGACAGATACTATTTTTTTTTTCTCCAAAGAATCTGATCACATAATTCAAATAGATGAGCCCTAGGGGCTGATTCAGTCCAGAGCTATGAGGTGTTAGAGTCCCACAGGAGCCATGCCTTCAGAATCCCACTGCTTATTTTAATGAGAATCTTGTTGGGGCTCAAATAGACACCCAGGCACCAAGAATGTCTCATTAAATTGACTTGGGCAAGTTCATAGCCATCAGGATGGGTTGGCATTTATCTGAAACAAGATCCCCCTTGTGCAAGGCAACAATATTGACTACTGGGTTTGCTCAGAACTCCAGGCCTCAGGACCTCAATCCTCACTCAAAATAAGTAGAATTTTAGGTGGAACTTCCAGCTGAGTTCAGTCCAACAAGCATGAACCAGGTCCCCATATACAGTGAATGGGGCATGGGACCGAAACAACAATGGTTCACTCAGTAAACATCATCATCAGTTTCAGTGATCTCAATAATTGTAGCAAACTAATCATATGTTCAAAGGAAGCCAAGCAGCAGTTATAGGGACAGATGTATGACATAGTTACAATGCTCTGCAGCCTTATGTGAATCTTCCCAGAGGCTTATAAGCACTCAGAGAAAACTCCCAGAGAAGGGGACACTGAATTGTGTAAGGTTTGACTTGCTACATGTGTCCCATATGGAGTAGGAGGAGGCTGGCTTTTTAAAAAGGAAACAGCAATGCTAGTTAAGTTTGCTTTAACCTAAAGAGCAAGGTCAGAATGGTGAGATGGAAGGGGAACAGGGTCTGCCTGAAAGGCTCGGGCTGATTTGAGAGCCATGGGGATCTACTAAGGATTGGCTTTTAGCAGTGTCACCTTGCATGTCCCCGGGGCCTGGCAGACTAGCCTAGGAGACTTTTGAGATACATAGTTCTGCTCTTTATTTTCAACCCTCATTCAACTCTACCCAGAAAATATAATGGTGGGGCCAACAGAATGAAGCAACCAAATACAGAAGTTCTTGCCTAAGCTGAAAATGGGGTAATGTCCCTCTTTACAAGGCCCAGGGAATATGGTTGGGACGGTGCTTATGGGCTTCTCATTCCAGCATGTCAGAACTGTTCTTTTTCTGATAATCCAAATTAGGTGTTGGCATTTCAAATCAAGGTACTCATTCCCTGCTTTCCCTCCAACTGCCCTGGTATAGCATTCTCATTTAATTTTCCATACATACTGTGAGATAGCCTCTTCCTTTTCAGATGAGAGAGCTCAGGGGCAGAAATGTGGCGAAAGGGTTTTAAAAGAGCCACATCGTATTGCTGTGTGCCCATCATCTATATAGCACTCTCTGTATGCCCATCAAATTTCTCTAAAGCTCCCCAGCCCCCAGCTTTAACATATGGGAATTGAGACAAATAGAAGCTGATGAGTCGACGACTTAGACAATAAACAAGAGGGCCGGGTGAGAATGCAGCCCAGGTCTTACCCCATCCCCACATTCATTTTACTGAACCACGCCATCTTACCAGGAGGATGGCATGCATGACATAGTTTGCTGACATTTCCATTTCAAAAAACTGAAGGAAATGTCACTGCTCAAGGGGGAAACGGTTGGTGTCTAGAAATCTCTGGCTGCTTTCCTTCTCAAGCCCCTGGTTCACTGAGTGTGGGCATACACTCTGTCTCTGGGATTCTTTTCAGACCACTGATGGGCATTTGCCAAGAAGGGGAGGTGGTGGCTAAGCAGCAACACAGAGAAGGCTTTTCAGGACAACTGCCATGAGAGAGGAAACACTGCTGTATATTTCTACCTGGGCATATTCAGTGCATCGTGGAGGCGGTTGGCCACACGGATATTTATTGAGCACTTGCTATGTACTAGGAAGCGAACTCGGCAATTCCAGTACAGCATGAAGCCAGAAAGGCTCACTCGGCCCGCTTGAGGCTTATGGTTTTGCAAATATGCCGTAAAATAGGTCAGACAATAAGATAGTGAGTATACAAATGAAGTCATAGAACAAATCAGGGCACGTAGTGAGCTGACTGCGCAGATTGAGAGGAACGGTGTGTGTGATGGAGAGACAAGCTACATGTGGGAAAGCAGGAACTGTGCTACTCTGTAGGCTGAGAACTACAGTAAGAAAACCTGGATGCTCTACAACCAGGGACCCCCTCCCAGCAGCCTGCTTCAGGCATTTGGCCAAAGATGCCTTGAATCGTATTTTAAAGTTGATGAGAGAAGGCGCCCTAATTCCTCCTAGCATAGTGCGGTAAATGTAGTAGACAACGATTTATAACCTGTTTCACAGAACCAGAAAAATGTCAAAGTTCCCAGCATGTGGAAATGACATGTTTCAGAAGCCCAATTATTCTAACTCAATCATCATATATGGCGTTTTCAGGTAGCGAATTATCGCTTGTACCCAGTAAATAAGTACAAATATTACGTGACAATTTAAAAATAGCCATGTTTAAGAAAATAATTCAGTCTGGCAAGATGGCTTAGCAGATAAAACTTCTTGGCTCCAAACTCAATGATATGAGTTCAAATCCCGGGAATCCACATGGCAGATGGAAAGGCCTGATACCTACAAGTTGGCCCCTGACCTTCGAATTTCTGTGTCCCTCTCTCCCCCAATCAATCAACAAGTATGCATGTAATGCAAATATATCAGAAGACTTTACTTCTTTTGCATGTCCTGACTCTGAGTTTTCTGGTGGATAAATTAGCTGGGAAATAGCATGTCTATCTAGTTCAGAGACAGAAATTAAAGTCTGAGATGTTAAAGGACTGAGTCAAGGTCCTGGCAGATAAAGCCAATTGTTTAGCTAATTTCTCACTGCTGTGACAAAACACCCGATAAAAACGACTTATGGAAGGAAGGGTTTATTTCAGGGTGCAGTCCTGCATGGCAGGAACATCACAGTGGCAGGAGCCCGAAGCAGCTGGCCACGTTGTACCCACAGTCAGGAAGCAGCGAGCGATGAATCCTGGTACCCATTTCACTTTCTCCTCGTCGTTCATTCCAAGACCACAGCCTGCAGAACAGTGCTGCCCGCTATTTAGGGTAGGCCTTTACACCTCAATCAACGCATTATAGTCCTTAAAGAGAGATCTGTCATCCAGTCACCCTAGATCCTGTCTGGTTGTTACTATCAGATAGGTAGTTGAACAAAGACCAGGCTCTGAGGTCATTGCTACCCCAGTACTTCTGGCTTCCACTCCTACTGAGTCAGGGGAAGCTAGGAGGACTTTTAGGGAGTGCTGCATAGTGGGACTTTTTGCTAGCTTAGATGATGGTATCTGTGGGGGTTCCTCTAACTCCGGATTGTGTGACCCAGCTTGTAACCTATCTCATAGCCTTGGCCTCCAGGCCCCCAGGCAATTTTTTCTTCCTCCAACCCCCAGGGCTTCATTGCTAACAGGGCTAAATTCCATCCTCCCAATCCTTGGAAGCCTCCCAAGTTTGACTCCTTCTAGTAGGGCCAAGAATTCAGAGCAAGAGGGAGGGAAGCACTGAGGAGCTGGCAGCATGAGGCTCCTGCTCCCTCACCCTGCAGCCAAACCAACTCGGCAGCTTGGCCTATTTTTCTAATACTCCACAATGGAGATTTATTGCTTTTGTATTGCTCTCCTCGGGCCTTCAAAGATTTATTGGTTTTTAAGTGACAGAATCCCAGAATTGCTTAAAAGATCAATCAAATGGTGACTAGAATCTAATATTCAGCTCTGACTCCAACATGCTGAACCTTCTTCCCCCATGCCCCACCTGTCATGCTGATGTATCTGTGGTAACCTTCATAAGAAAGTAACTTGGCCATGAATTAATCACCCATAACGCAGTCCCTGCAGTGAGACTGGGGTCTCTGCAACAAAATCTGTGGGAGTCGCTCCCCCAGCTACGGCAGATTTTCTTGCAAGTATCCTTTTCCATTCTCTTTTCTCTCTTCCAGTGAGTCACCTGCATTGCCCCTTGATTTGCAGATCAGCCCTGGACAGACACTGTGTCTCCAGCCCCATTCTCCTGGCCAGCCAGGGTGCCCTTGCTGGTACATCTATCAAGAGCATCTCTCTCTCAGGGCCATCCCCCACCGAACTGCTGGAGTGGTCCTTGGGAAGCACAAATTGGATCAAGTTAGCTTGCCTGCTTAAAATTCTTAAATGGGTCACTGGTTTTCTATTGCATTAAGTTCAAGCTTCTTAGCATGAAATTCAAGGCTTGTCAGCATCTGCCCTTAACCTTATTTCTAGTTTCATTTAAATTCCCTCTGCCCCTTACCAGGTTTTATTCAACAGTGCCCTATGTGGTTCCTTCCTGGTTCTTCTCTGAGCTTTTAACTGTGTTATGCATGCATTTGTAAGCTTTCTTTGTTTTGAGGGCTTTGGTTTTTGTTTCATTGTTTTAGATTCCATGTCTTAGCCCCAAGACACTTGAAGGCTTGGCACTACTGGACCTCCTTCACTTGGTATAATGTGTAGTCCATAGTAGATGCAAGCAAACAAATAAAAACACAAATGCAAAGCAAACAAAAGAAAACCCAACAAGTAGTTTCTAAAGTGTGTGATTACTTAATTCAGCAAATTTGTCCATTCCTCCCTTGTTGATTCCAGAAGCTAAGGCTGTGCATTTCTTCAGCTACCTTCTATTCCCAAATGAAATGGTTATCAGGTAGATCTTTCTCTAGCAACAAAAATGCCCTTCCGTGTGAG